TGAACCAATAGGAATTGAGCAATAATTCTCTTTGGATATTGGATGAATATCCTAACAATGTGTCATCCTCTTTCCCTCTCTCTTTCTCTCTCTTCATAAAATAATTTCAGCATGAGAAACGACGAATTCAAGCTTATTTAGTATCATTATGTGAAGAATTGAAACGACGTTTGGAACATGATAAGAAAAGTATTGAATTAACTCCAAGTGGAGGTTAGTTGATCGTGTTTAGACAGTTTTTAGAAAAAAAACAATTTTTTTTCGTTGGAATACACAGTTAATTCGTTCATGATGTCTGTCATCATTTTTCTATGTCAGTCAGTCGGTCAGTCAGTCAACAACAGCATAGAACGTCGTACGTACGTATATCAGTTCAAGTTGCCATACCACATTAACACACAGAGATGTAACTGTCAATTCAAATCCAGTAGTAGCAGAGGTATTAGCAGTAGTCTTGATTTAGATGGAATCTTTACATCTAACAATAAAAACTTACTTCTGTATCAAATTGTTGCACCTGACATGAATCTCAATGGCAATGCGAACTTGCTTTGAGTTTCTCAGTCAAGAAACCTCAGTGGTTAGCCAGTTCCTGCATTTTTTTAGACAAGCAACAGGGATTGTTCCAGACGATGCACCGGCCATCGCTGCTGCAATCATGGTCAGTCAGTCAGTCAGTCAGTTAGATACAACGTAGAACTTCGTACGTACGTAAGTACATCAGTTCATGTTGCCATACCACATTAGCATACAGAGATGTAATTGTCAATTCAAATCCAATAGTAGTAGAGGTAGTAAGGGTATTAGAAGTATTCGGAGAGGTTACGATTAGAAGATATTATTCAAGAAGTATGATTCAGTGAGATAAGTTTAGAAAGACAAAACTAGATAGGTTCAAGAATCCAGAAGATTAGGATTTGAGAGAACACAAAGAATAAATACACCTGCGCCATTGCAAACGGTTTTGAGCCATGTCATTCAGGGTCTTTAATCATCTCGCGGTCCACAACCAGATAGTCGACACCTACCAATACGACTCAACCCAGTTGTCTGCGAATTCATGGATTTGTGCAATGTTTTGGTTGAATGGTATACTATCTTATATTCATGGTCAACCAACATGCCTGCCGCACATTCACATCGCTGCGTTGATATACAGCGCAAGGATACTCACTGTTGCCAACAGTACTGACCCCTTCGGGTACATACATGTTGTCCGGTTTGGTCTGCAGACAAGTCGGGCATCCAAAAAGCACGCACACGAGCAGTGGCCCCCTGCCCGGGCACTCATGAATCAAGAAATCTCACCAACCAAACCACAGCCCACAATCCACAATCGGCGAGGGTGGCAAGGCGGGCTTATCCTTCCGGACAAGGGACCCCGTCACAGGTTACCGAGCCACCCAAGCAGTGCACTAACCAGCAGCCATTCCAACCGTCTGGCCTCCAACTGACTTGCGTTAATACAATTGGGGGCCTGTGGCACAATGGATAACGCGCCTGACTACGGATCAGGAGATTCCAGGTTCGAATCCTGGCAGGCTCGACTATCTTATAATACTACTACTACTTTACTACTACTACTACTACTAATAATAATAATAGTAATATAAAGAAAATTTAGCCATAAATACTTGATTATTCTTATCTGTTAGAAATATGTGTTTGCTTTACAACACCTGAAATAACTTGCCTATTGATGTAAGGATGCTGAGGTTAGTCATGTAGTTCCAGGAGAAGACAACGGACTAGTTAATGAAGCTGTGGATCTCCATCTGCCTAAAGTAAATGGTACATATATTATGCATGCTTAACCACTGTCTAACTCAAAATGCTATATTGTGTGCAGTAGAAGTAATTTGGTAGATAGGACGAAGGACAGTTAAAACAAGATGTTGTATCAGTGTATAAGATTTTTCTCATGTCATCAGTTTCATAGACTTGTAAATTCTTATTCCATTCCAGTTTGTGGTGGTGATGGTGTTTGGTTCTCTGAGCTGGATGTTTTGGTTGTGTAATGCAGAGACTAGAAGCGTCAATTTTACCAATCAAGATCGAGGTTAGCAGAACAAGCCACAGGTCAAACGTGGAGAAATTCGAATACTTCACTTCTTCTATCTGAAGTTTGTGCTGATGATGTTGTTGTTCAGCAGAAGAACAATGAAAGCTCCACAACCAAAACGCATCCAGCTCAGAGAACCAAACATCACCACAATCATCCATCTGAGCTATACAAATCTTCTCCCACATCTCCATTTTTAGATATTCTTGAATTCAAACCGTCAATAACTCGTAAATTAAGACGACGTGCTATAGGCGGAGTTAGTGGTGGTGGTGTTGGTAGTGGTGTTAGCCTTGGTCCTCCAGGCGGTGGAAACGATCTGTCCGCTTCATCGAATCCAGCCAATTTTATGTATTGGGGTGATTTACTTCTATGCGGTGGTTCACGTTGGTCCACCATGTTGAATTCAAATTTAAGCACAAATTTACAAAAATCTAATTCAGCTGATTTAAACAATAATCCTCCTCCCATCAATGTAAATACCAAAGATGATGAAGAAAATACCGATCCCAATCAATCTCAGTCTTCAAATTTAGAAAATGAATCGAAAGACAATGATAGAGTAGTAATTTCACATAGTAATAAAATGCCTCCAGTGATTCCATCCATCACATCCTCCTCATCATCAACAGTGGCGACATCGTCTGTCGCCACCGCCACCACCACTTCAACGTTCAATTCAACATCGAAAGTGAATATTTTTGGTAGTTTAGGTTTAAATCCCTTAGATGGAAGTTTATTATCGCATTTATTAGCTTCCATAAATAATAATAATACTACTAATAACAACACATTAGCATCAACAACAAATTTCTATACAAATTCTGCATATTTCTCATCAACTACATTATCAAATGAATTTTTAACTAATGGAGGCGTTGTACTTGGCAATGCATCATGTGGTTCTACAGCTGCTGTTGCCGCTGGTCTTATTATACCATCGAATGGTACTGGAACTGTTCATTTATCAAGTAGTATGAAACTCTCACCAGTGGCTGCATTGAATTGTGGTCTAGTACCATTATTGAGTAGTAGTGTTGCAGCAGCCGCCGCCGCCGCCGCCGCTGCAGGTGCTATTAATACTACTATCAATATGAATAATAATAATAATCATAATAATAATACTAATAATATTATTATTAATCATCCTCATCATCTTCATCATCATTCATCTTTATCATCAACATCAACATCAACATCATCGTCTATGCGTAAACGACGTCATCAAAATATTACACCTAGTGCACAATTAAATCTCTTATTACCGGAACATGAAATCTATGCTGATTTAACTATTATTCATAGGTAAGAAGAAATCCATTGATTTCATTTGAACTATCTATGTATATATATATATACTTGAATGTGGCTCAGGTGTTAACTTCCTATCTCAGTCAGTCAGTCAGTCATTTACTACAACATATACCATACCATATTAGTACATAGAGACGCGATTGTCAATTGCAAATCCCTTTAGTAGTACTTTAGTGAAGGAGAACACCGGTGAGGGCAACCGAATTGTGCTTAACGAAAAAAAAATTACAGAGTTAGTTACTCAGTAAAATCGGAAAACTATATCGTAAATCGTTAATTTGCAAAATATCAGTTCATCATCATCAATCCATTGTCTGACATTTCACTCACTATTCATGCGTTTCATACACAAATTCCATTGTGTTCCCCCCACTCTTCTTACTTTCTTGATCTTCCCCCATCTTCTGCTGCCAGACATTACGTTGACACTCATGTCATATACTACTTATGAGTAGCGCGCACCACAGTAGGATTTAATTTGTCTTACAGATGTGTACTTCTAGAACTGTAAACGCAATATTGGCAAGCATAGCAGAGTCTATGGGAAAGCTATAGTCCAACACAAGACCAACCTTTGCTTTAAACTTTATCTATTTCTAAACATAAGAAAAACAATTAGATTAGTGCAATAATTGAGGAAATTACAGTTATCACAAGTGAACCCAGTGAACATACCGACTAATATAGCGTGTCATATGACAAATGAATAAAGTTATGAGTCACATCAATCGATTAAGATAATAATGTCCTTCAATCAATAGGTCATTTACAACAAAGAAAGTTTACAGACACGTCAGATCAGATCACGTGCTGGGCGCTTAAACGACAATTTGATTGGTTAGTTATGACATAACTACAATTAGTTATGAAAATAACTAACAGAAGGTGATGAGGAATTCAATAGATTAGGATTTCAGAGAACACAAATAATATAGATACATCTGCGTCATTACAGACGATTTTGAGCTGTCATTCAAGGTCTCTAACAATCGGTTACTATTGTCCCCCGCAGACCCCAACCAGGAAGTCTACATCCACCCACATGACTCGATCCATTTGTCAGTGACTTCATAAATTTGTGCCATGTTTTGGTTTGATCGCCTTTAGCTTTCTTCCAACCTACCCCTACACCACAAAACATAGCTCGTCGAGGGAGTCGATGGTTGTGCATACGTAACACATGTCTCAACCACCTCAATTGTTGTAGTTTCAATACTTCATTTATTGATCTGTCATCCTTACCTAATACCCGTTTCCTAACAGCTGCATTGTTTACTCGATAGTCCTAAGATAAACGAGCAATACTTCGGAGACACCTATGATCAAAATCCATTAACCTACGGATGTCCTCTAATTTTATTGGCCATGTTTCGAACCAATATCGTGGGAAGGAGCGAACTGCTGCGCAGTAGATTAGTCCTTTAGTTATCAAACGAATATCTCGCCTATGCCATAAGTGACGCAAGTTGGTCAATCTCAGTCGAGTCTTCTAATTCACTAGGTAATAAAATAAAAGCTTATCTTTTATTAACTCGTATTCAGTGTATATCAAATTAAAATTTAATTTATGCATTGCGGGGTTGTTGTGAAGATTGTTAAGTTTTATTTATAACCATGAATCGATCAATGTTAGACCACCATTAGAAACCTGGAAGCACTGAAAGTGCGGCCGTTTCGTCCTGGTATGGGACTCTGTTGTAACGGTTGCTTAAGATATTTCCCGGCTAAATCTTATTGCTTAGTATTCTTGACACAAAACACTGGACAAGTAACCCAAATCAGAACACGGTTGAACAGGAAGGATTGTATTCCAAAATAGCAAGGAAAAGAAGCCGGAGGTGATGGCGAAAGCCAAGGCAAAGAAAGCAAGAAGGCTTGAAGGCTAAGAAGGCAAAGATAAATACAATGCTAGTCTATTTATAGCCTTTACATGAGAAAACTTCTGGAAGAAAATTCACGTGATCGACTGGACTGGATTTGACCAATCAGCATGCAGCTAATAATACGAGAATTTTCTATCCTGTTCTCCAAGCTTCGATCAGGCGCTGATTGGATAGGAAATTAGCCAATCAGCGCGTAGTGACGTAATCATGCTTTAAATCCATCTATGTCCCACTAACAGACTCATCAGTGGCAGTGCGTATCCACGACTCCTGCACCCCGCGAGATTCGAACCTGGGACCTTCGGTATTGTGCTCGAACGTCCTGACCGTTAGACCACTGAGCCGGTGTTAATGTCTAACTTGATCAAATTCATGGAGTTGCGCAACCTCACCAAGCTAGTCACTAGTGAACCCATGTAATTGCATTACGGGGTTGTTGTGAAGATTGTTAAGTTTTTATTTGTCAAGGCGTTCGCGTACAATACCGAAGGTCCTGAGTTCGAATCCTGCGAGGTGAAGGAGGAGTCGTGGATGCACACTGCCACTGCTACTGATGAGTAGTCCCATACCAGGACGAAACGGTCGTCTTTCAGTGCTTCCAGGTTTCTCTAATGGAGTGGTCTAACAATGATCGATTCATGGTTACAAATAAAATTTAATTTATGGTTATCATGTTTTAATTCTCTCTTTTGATTTCTTTATTCTTTTTATTTTTCTCTGACCAATAATTCATTTAATAAACAAATAGAGCTTGTTCAAAAATTGCAACTATTCCCAACGGGACTTCAATGAATATTGGTAGTCGTAAACATACATCGAATAATACATCGAATAGTACTAGCAATACATCCAATCCAAGTCAATTTCATTGTAATAGTCCAGTATTAAGTCCTTCTCTAGGTAAATGCTATGAAGAGAATTATAATTTAAATAGATTGACCAAAGATTCTAATACAACAACAACAACAGCGATGATGAATAATGCCTCTTCATCATCAGCTACAACACTGGATTCACCTAATTCATCATTTATCACGAGTTCCAATTTTGGTGGTGATTTGTCAACATCAACAACAACAACAACAACACGTTCTGGTACACGGACTACTGCTGGCATTCATTCAATCATGAATAATTCGAATTCGAATTCCAATGCAACTCCTACATTTTCTGTCTGGATTGATGATGGACGATTGTATTGTGGCAATAAATGGTAATCATGTTTTTGTTGTAACGCTTGCTTTTGAATACTTACTTACTTTACTTACTTACGCCTGTTACCCCCAAATGGAGTATAGGCCGCCCCAACCAGTTTTCTCCAACCAACTCTATCGTTGGGCTTTCCCTCTCAAGTTCTGTCCAATATTTGTTCATTCTTCTTCTTATGTCTTTCTCTATTTGTCGGCGTAATGTGTTCCTTGGCTTTCCTCTTTTCCTTTTGCCTTGAGGGTTCCATGTGAGGGCTTGTCTTGTGACTCAGTTAGGTGCTTTTCGTAGTGTGTCCTATCCACTTCCACCGCTTCTTCCTGATTTCCTCATCCACTGGAATCTGGTTTGTTCTCTCCCACAATTCGTTGCTGATGGTGTCTGGCCAACGAATCCGAAATATTTTGCATAGATAACTGTTCATAAATACTTGTATCTTCTGGATGATTGGTTTCGTAGTTCTCCATGTTTCCACTCCATACAGTAGAACTATGTTGACATTTGTATTGAAAATTCTTATTTTGGTGTTGATTGATATTTCTTTGGAGTTGCAGATATTTTTCAATTGTAGAAATGCAACCCTTGCTTTGCCGATCCGCACCCTCACATCTGCATCGGATCCACCTTGATTGTCGATGATGCTGCCCAGATATGTAAAGGTATTAACGTCCTCCAAGGCATCTCCATCAAGAGTGATTTGGTTGGTGCATGTTGTGTTGCATCGGAGAATTTTGCTTTTCCCTTTATGTATGTTGAGACCTACTGCTGCAGAGGCTGCTGCTACACTGGTCGTCTTCTCTTGCATTTGTTGTTGAGTGTGCGATAGAAGAGACAGGTCATCTGCGAAGTCCAGATCGTCCAGCTGCGTCCTAACTGTCCATCGGATACCGTGCTTCCCTTCAGATGTTAACGTCTTCATAATGCAGTCGATCACCAGGAGAAGGAGGAGGGGGTATAATAAGCAACCTTGCCTGATACCGGTCTTCACCTCGAAAGAGTCTGTTAGCTGTCCTTCGTGTACGATTTTGCTAAACAAATATTACCACTTCGTTTTTTCCACCAACTATTGTTCAATTATTCAAATCAACAGCAACAGACAACTTATATTCTACCGCTCATGAATAAATCAGAATCGTTCAACAGACAATATTTAGTTGCTTCATAACACAGAGTGTTTCCTATTCTGGAAGGGTGCTTCAATTCACAGAGTCTGTTATCTGTCCTTCGCGTACGATTTTGCAGTTGAATCCATGATAAGAATTCCGTATGATGTTAACTATTTTCTCAGGCACACCGTAGTGTCGAAGAAGCCTCCATAGTGTTTTCCTGTCCATGCTATCGAATGCTTTCTCGTAGTCGATGAAGTTGATGTGGAGTCGTGAGTTTCATTCAATTGATTGTTCCACAATGATCCGTAATGTAGCAATTTGGTCAGTACACGATCTATCCTTACGAAATCCGGCCTGTTGATCTCGAAGTTGCACCGGTGTCTACGAAGTCCTTCATTCTGTTTTACAATACCGTGTTGAAGACTTTGCCTGGTATTGAAAGAAGAGTGATTCCTCTGTATTTCTCACACTTGCTGAGATCTCCTTTCTTTGGTATTTTGATCAGGTATCCTTCTTTCCAATCTGATGGTACTTGTTCCTCATCCCAAATGTTGTTGAAGAGGATGTGAAACATTTTCGCAGTTGCTTCCACATCTGCTTTAATTGCCTCTGCTGGAATGTTGTCTGGTCCTGCTGCTTTGCCGCTCTTGATTTGTCTGATGGCCATACTGATCTCCTCAATTGTAGGTGCACCAATATTAATTGGGAGGTCCGTGGATGCTGCTTCGATATTGGGTGTGTTCAGTGGGGCTGGTCGATTCAAGAGTTCCTTTAAGTGCTCTACCCACCTATTTCGCTTGCTTGAATAATTCCCGGCTAATTCCTACTGCTTAGTGTATTCTCTGACCACTCAATGCCACTGGATAAGTTCCAAAGAATCAAAAAACACAATGGAACAGGAAAAGATTATATTCCGAATAGCAAAGGTTAAATGGAAATAAGAAGCCGAAGGCGAAAATCAATACAACGTTAGTTCCTTTATAGTATTTACATGAGAAGCTTCTGGATAGTAATTCATGTGATCGACTGGATTAGATTTAGCCAATCAGCGTGCAGCTAACAACAACACGAGAATTTTCTACCCTATTCTTCAAGAATCGATCAGGCGCTGATTGGATTAGGAAATTAGCCAATCAGCGCGCAGCAACGTAGAGTCATGCTTTAATTCCATCTATGTCCCACTAACAGCTTTTGTCAAAGTAGAAATAATAATCAGATTGACATCATTAAATTTGTTATTATCTTTTTACTGAAGTGATTACTGTTAATCAAAATAACACTGTTAGCATACAAGTTAATGTATGTTTAATTTTAATGATGAACTGATTTCAGACAAACAACAGTCATAGAATCAACCAACCTAAGGGGTGTTGGTAAACCATCATTCCCAACATCAGCGGTGTACATGAGCTCCAGGTTTGTGCAGAAACAAAAATGATGTATGAATGAATATATTGTCGGTCAGTTGAGCTTCTGTGGGACTACAACTGATGGTGTTGCTTCACTACTTTGTGGATATTAGACCTGTAGTATATATATTTAAATGCTAATTTTCCACGGACGTTTATGTGTTTAAATAAATAGATATGTTATTTTCAAATGTTAATCATCGCTAATTGAATTCAATAGGGCAGCAGCAGAATAAGAGATGTGTTAACTTGTAAAATTGATATTTGCTTACTTTCCAACGTTTGTTTTTCTCCATAGGGAAAATTACTCACTGAAACGTTCGTTGATTATTGTCACAAACGGAAATATGTTTGTTGATAGTGCTTACAATTAACTGACTGACTGACTGCGTTGATCGATTGTGTTGCACATGCACGTAAACACGTCATTTTGATATGGTTGAATTATTATTACGAGTTTACCTTAATCGGGAAACGATAGCGAGGATCCGGCGACACGGTATGCAACTCTAATCCGAGTGTCCCAATCCCACCCCCATTGTGTAGAATAAAAAGTGTTGATATGAACTAGAAGATGTATTCTACAAGAAGCCAAGAAGTATTAAGTACGAGTCCAGAGGAAGTCAAGGATCTCGGACTAGGGATCTTGGTCCGTGTCATAAAACATTACAGATAATGCGTATTTATACAGTTAGGTCGAATCGGGAACAACATTGAAGTCTGTGACATTGATAGTTAGGACCACCATAATATTGACCAGCAGGAATTGACCAATAGAATTAAACTAACAAAAATAATTCTCTTAGGATATTAGATGAATATCCTAACAGATTGATTGACTAATTTTTTATCATTGCTATATATACTACTTAAATAATAGTAGTAGTAGTACATACTATTTGTATTGCTTTTCTTTTTATGCTTTCTATTTTGCAACATCAAGTTATCAAATTGGCGCTTCCATTATCTTAGAAGGTCGTGATGGTTCCAGTCATCGATGTACTGGTACAATAGCATCTATCGGTGTTCAAGATCTAGCTATACGTAGATGTTCAGATCATGGAATATGTCGTGTCACTGTACAACAATTAAAACAAGGACGATATACAATATGGCCAAATAAATTGGAATAACTTCATGTCATCATTCTTTTTCACTAACCAAACAATTAACTTTATTGTAAATTGTATAATTTTGATAATACTTGCATTTTTACAAGTGTTCCCGCACCCCTCCCGCCCCCGTATATAATATACGCCGATATATATATATTTATATATTTATATGGATATGTACATTTCATCGTTTTCATTTTCATTGTCATACTTTCACTTTTATTGATTGGTTATACACACATGTGTACACTCCTGGTCCCATGGTGTGTTATTATTATTATTTGAATTTTTGTAATTACTCATCATTTTTCATTTTATATATCTCTTACATTTTGTACAAACCATTGACCGATGCATTCAATAGTGAAGTCGACTTCTCCAAAACTCATCTTTGTTGGTTTCCCCTGTTTTTTTTTACAAGTGGTCCAGAGGTTAGGCGTTCGAGCACAAGACCAAAGGTTGTCCACTGTATTCCGTGCTTCTCTTCAGATATTGACGTCTTCACAATCCAGTTGACCAGTAGGAGTAAGCGAAAGGGTGATAATAAGCAGCAACCTTGCCTGACAGTAGTCTTTACTAAGAACAAGTCTGTTGGCCCGTCCTTCATAAAAGATCTCGCAGAATAATCCATCATATGAATTCCGTATTCTGAAGAAAAACTCCTTAAAAAACTTGATGTGATGTTGTCTATCTCGTTGTCCTGTGTTTCTTGATTTTCAGTTTCATTTTGGCGACCAGCATTTGATGATCTGTGGCTATATCAGCACCTTGTTTGGTTCTCACATCCTCCATGGTCCTTCTGAACGTTTTGTTGATACAGATATGGTCAATTTGGTTTTGAGTAGTGTGGTCCGTTGAAATCCATGTGGCTTTGTGTATGCCACCGATGACCAGTTTGTTGAAGGCACATAGGTTTACAAATCTCTCACCGTTTTTGTTCCTTGCTCCCAGTTCATGTCGTCCCATAATGTCTTCATATCCAGTGTTGTCCATGTCAACCTTGGCATTCAGGTCTCCCATTAGAATGGTCAAATCCTTTGGTAAGCATCTTTCGACGTTTGACTGCAGCCTTTCGTAGAATTGATCTTTAACGTCGTCACTGTAATCGTTGGTAGACGCACAGCATTCGATGACGTTCATTGTAATGTTCTCTTTCTTTGTTTTGAAGGATGCTTTAATGATTCTGGGTCCATGAGATTCATCCCATCCTATAGGTACTATTTTAGACAGCATCAGTGCAACTTCTTTTATGTATGTGAGGCATTCTCTTCTTCATGGTCGAAGTATGACACGATTGATCCTTAACGGATCCAGCCTGGTGATCTTGAAGTTGAGTGTCTATGGAGTCCTTCATACTGTGTAACAACCTGTATAACACTTTGTTGTAGACTTTGCCTGGTATTGAGAGAAGAGTGATTTTGGTATTTTGATAAGGTATCTCTCTTTCCAGTCTGATGGTACTTGTTCTTTATTTCAAATCTTGCTGAAGAGGATGTGGTGGAGTATTTTTTCAGTTACTGCTATGTCTGATTTCATTGCTTCAGCTGGAATGTTGTCTTATTCTGCTGCTTTGCTGCTCTTGATTTTTTGCGATGGCGATGCTGATCTGTTGAATTGTTGGTGGGCCAACATCGATTGAGAGGTCTGTTGATGCTGCTTCGTTGTTGGGTGGGTTCATGGGGAGCTGGTCGATTGAACAGTTCTTCAAAGGGATCTACTTACCTGTTTCGTTGTTCTTGCTGATTGCTTTGCCTTCCTCGACTTTCAACTGGTCGTTCTGGTTTACGATGGTTTCCGGCGAGCTTCTTTGTTGTATCGTACAAGTATCTCATGAACATGAACAAAGTTTTATGAGTTTTTTTTCACAAAATATTGAGTTTAAGAGAAAAAAACTACGAACAACTGAAGTAAATGTGAATAATTATTAGAATACATGTGAGAAATGAAGTACATTTGTCCTTACGAGGTGATTCCAGCTACCATTATTATTATTAAGTGAGATTTTCTCACGCCTATTATGAGACTATATAAAAACCAGCTCATATTGTTCACACTGAAAACATAATCAAACAGAATGATCATGAAAATACTATTTATTACTTTTATGTACATAATTCTTATGTATATTGGTAAGTTGATTTTAATATCGATAGTATTTAATATTTGTAAATGAACTGTATCATAAAAGACAATTTCTTGACATTTAAGACAATATGCTATATATATATATATATATATATATATATATATATATATATATATTGAAACTGCACTGCTGAGGAGTCCCATACCAGGACGAAACGGCCGTCTAAACAGTGCTTCCCAGGTTTCTATAATGGTGGTCTAACATTGATCGATTGATGGTTTCAAAAATGTGTAACTTAACAATCTTCACAACCCCGTAATAATACATATATATTTTTATTGACCAAGAAATACAGAGAGATAAAACATTATTGACAAGTGAAGTTTGTTAGGATTTCTCAACAACAAAATTCATTTCAGATATAACTTACAGCTCATTCATCAAAGAATAGGAATGAAATCTTAGTTTTTACTAGGGCATTCACAAAAATCGCATTGGATACCATTTACGGGGAGAAAATATATTGGTTTATTGAAGATAAGTGAACGTTTCATACTGCTCAGACGCTTAAACATACATTAGCCAGGATCAAACAGAATCGACTAATTTGATGGATGTTGCGCTCAGAAGACGATGATTTAAACAAAAAAGGTTGTCATGTTGCATGCAGCATGACACTGAACATATAGATACCAGTGGTTTGTTTGTTTGAGAGAGCATTGGTCATGTGGTGCGAGCTACTTATAAGTAGTATATGACGTGAGTTGGTGGAGAAAACCTGTAGCTCAGGTGGATGATTGTGGTGGTGTTTTGTTCTCTGAGCTGGTTGTTTTGATTGTGGAGCTTTCATTGTTCTTCTGAACAACATCATCAGCACAAACTTCAGATAGAAGAAGTGAAGCATTCGAATTTCTCCACGTTTGACCTGTAGCTTGTTCTGCTAACCTCGATCTTGATTGGTTGTTGTTGTTCAGGAGAACAATGAAAGCTCCACAACCAAAACAACCAGCTCAGAGAACGAAACACCACCACAATATGACGTGAGTGTCAACGTAATGTTTGGCAGCAGAAGATGGGGGGTGGGAAGATCAAGAGAAAGGAAGAGTTAGAAGAACACAATGGAATTTGTGTATGAAACGCATGAATAGTGAGTGACAATGGATTGATGTTGTTTGCAACAGGAACAGACAGTCCAGTTCGATATGATGATGAACTGATATTTTGCAAATTAACTAACGATTTACGATATGGTTTTTTCCGATTTTACACTGAGTAACTCTGTAATTTTTTTCGTTAAATACAATCCGGTTGCCCTCACCTGTGTTCTCTCTCGTTCACTACAATACAATTGAAATAATGTTCATAATATTACGCAAATTTCAGCTGAAGGAGATTTACAATTAGCATTAATGCAATTCCAATACACATTTCACTATCATTTCTTCGAAAAATGTAAGTGATATTGTTATTCAACATAGTTCGAAACTCTTCAAACTTTTTACAATGTTTGTTAATTGTCTGTAATTGATTGACTGGATAATTCATATCTGTGAAGATGATAGTGATAAGTTCGTCACTTAGTATGCTTGAGGCTATTACGAGTTTACCTTAGTCGATAAACGCGAACGAGACTTTTACCAGCTTCCAGGGAGGCTACCTTGAATCCGAGGCTGAATTGAAAAGGCTTTGTAAGCGTAGAAAGTATATTCTACAAACACCCAGCAATCACAGTACAATCAAGTATACAACTCTCGTTTATTTATACAACATAAGAACGTCCTTGAGACAGTTAAGAAAATAGCATACTAAAATACACAGCAGCCAATCATAGCCATTGATTTTCCTGGTGGGAATTGAAATCTCAAGGTCATCTGATCAGCCCATGCTGGCAAAACGTGAAAACCAAAATACGGCATTATCAAGCGAATTTTGGGGATCTAACATCCCCAACAGATAGTTCACAGTTTATACAACAAACTGAATTAGTCAACTTGTTTCGAATAAATTGAATTGTTAAGATGTTGGTCAATATCAATTGTGTGTTAGCGATTTGATCAATTCATTTTTTTTCTGTCAAACGAACTGATGAAGATTGTCATTGATTGTCACCGGTGCATTCTCTCCATATATAAATGTGAATTGAAGCACTCTCTCAGATTAGGAAACACTCTGTGTTATGAAGCAACTAAATATTGTCTGTCGAACGATTCTGATCTATTCATGAGCGATAGAATATAAGTTATCTGTTGTTGTTGATTTGAATAATTGAACAATAGTTGGTGGAAAAAACGAAGTGGTAATATTTGTTTAGCAAAATCGTACATGAAGGACAGCTAACAGACTCTTTCGAGGTGAAGACCGGTGTCAGGCAAGGTTGCTTACTCTCACCATTTCTCTTTCTCCTGGTCATCGACTGGATTATGAAAACGTCGACATCTGGAGGGAAGCACGGTATCAACTGGACAGTTAGGACGCAGCTGGACTTCGCAGATGACCTGGCTCTTCTGTCGCTTACTCAACAACAAATGCAAGAGAAGACGACAAGTGTAGCAGCAGCCTCTGCAGCAGTAGGTCTCAACATACATAAAGGAAAAAGCAAAATTCTCCGATGCAACACAACATGCACCAACCAAATCAATCTTGATGGAGATGCCTTGGAGGACGTCAAAACTTTCCCACATTTGGGCAGCATCATCGACAATCAAGGTGGATCCGATGCAGATGTGAGGGTGCAAATCGGCAAAGCAAGGGCTGCATTTCTACAGTTGAAAAATATCTGAAACTCCAAACAACTTTCAAACAAAACCAAAATCACGATTTTCAATACAAATGTGAGGACAGTTCTACTGTATGGAGCGGAAACCTGGAGAACTACGAAAGGCATCATCCAGAAGATACAAGTGTTTATTAACAGCTGTCTACACAAAATACTTCGTATTCGTTGGCCAGACACCATCAGCAACAACCTACTACTGTGGGAGAGAACAAACCAGATTCCAGTGGATGAGGAAATCAGGAAGAAGCGTTGGAAGTGAATAGGACACACACTACGAAAAGCACCTAACTGCATCACGAGACAAGCCCTCACATGGAATCCTCAAGGCAAAAGGAAAAGGGGAAAGCCAAAGAACACACTACGCTGAGAAATAGAGAAAGATATGAGAGGAATGAACAAACATTGAACAGAACTGGAGCCGGAAGCCCAGGACAGAGTTGGTTGGAGAGAACTGGTCAGCGGCCTATGCTCTATTTGGGGGTAACAGGCGTAAGTAAGTAAGTAAGTAATATTTGTTTAGGTAATGATATATATTTATTATTTATGATGAATATTAGAATCGTTATTTACCCAAATCACTTGGTTTCGAATTTAAACTGGGCGATAGCGCGTATCTAAACTACCTAGACAGTAGTTATTCCTCAATCCAAACCTCAGTTTGGATCCTACAATATTACTAGCGAGCATCCTAGTTACATATTCAGTTGTCCTCTAGTTTTTTTTAACACAGAACATCCTTAGAGACATGTGGCAGAAGTTAAGATCATTCCTTGACTAGGTATCATGATGATAGTACCTAAGACAAGGTGAGCATTTTATAGCCAATCACGTGTCCTTACATCCACAAACATCAATTTGAAACATGAATTTTATTTTGCAGATAGAATACTGAAATCTCAAACGGATCAGAATCCAATAACTGCACGTGACATATTTCGTCAAGGTAAGTTGTTGTGTTTATGTAGATGAATTTCGGAAAACACGCTCAACATCATGTTTTATGAAATAAAATGCAATGAATATCTTTGGAATCATTTCCCATGCATCACACTCACAAAAGTTGTTTGTTTTTCTAGGCTCTGATAATCGTTCTCCATGAAGTCGCCCTTTATTTATTATGTCAACTCATTCGCTAACTGAATTGGTAGTTTGTGAAAATCAAGCACACTGTCAAACTGTCAAAATTTAGCACTTTCAAAGCAACTTCAAACAAACATTGTGCATTCTATTGCACAATTAAATTGGTCAATTGTCCGGAATGTGATTGTTGTGTTTTCTGTGCAATCACTTTTGTTTACTGTCGTCAACTAGACAATCGATAGAGTCAGTCAGATGCAAAGTAGGACTTTGTACGTAAGTACATTAGTTCCTGTTACCGTACCACATTAGCACAGACATATAATAGTCAATTCGAATCCAATAGTAGTAGAGGTAATAAGGGTACTAGAAGTAATTGGAGAGGTTAGGATTAGAAGATATTATTCAAGAAGTATGATTCAGTGAGATAAGTTAAGAAAGACAAAACTAGAGGTGTTGAAGAATCCAGAAGATTAGGGTTTGAGAGAACACAAAGAATAAATGCACCGGCGCCATTGCAAACGGTTTTGAGTCATATCATTCAGGGTATCTAACCATCGATTATTATCATCTCGCGGACCCCAACCACATAGTCGTCAACTACGGACATGACTTAGTCCACTTGTCAATGACTTCATGGATTTCTACCATGTTTTGGTTTAGCCGCCCCTAGCTTTCTTCCAACCTATTCCTACACTACAAAACAAAGCTCGTCGAGGCAGTCGGTGGTTCGGCATACGCAGCACATGTCCACAATCGATAGAAAGACTATGAAAATATTTATCTGATTCTGTTTAGATTGTTTAAGGTTTGAACGTTTATATTTTACAAAATGGGCGATGAACTATCTTTCCAGTAAGTTTTGATATGATAACGATCGTTACCCTATACAAACCTATAATGTAGTGGATAAATGTTGATGTAAATTAAGTGAGGGGATAAATCATTTGCTCTTAGGAAAAACCACTCACATACATCATTGCATTTTTCGCTTCCTATATGTATTTGCATTATATGAGCTGTTCAGTTCACCGTTTGTTAATTTGTGCATCAAGGAGTCAGTGAAACCATGAATCTTTTAGTTTTAGAGCCTTGTTGGAATTCTAGTAGCACTGGTACT